TTGTAACTTCCATCATCAGTGTTCGATGGAGACTCAACTATCCATTGTGATTTTTAGACAGCCTACACCGAGCTTTCAGACAATGCGTTTAAACTTTCAGACACTGCGTTTGAACGCAGAATTTACACCAGAACGCGGATTTTGCGTTTGACTCGTTCAAACACGAGCTGAACAATTTCAAAACCGTTTCCCACGATCTGAGGGGATCACAACTCCACTCAGGAGTGATGTAAGGGGCGGTTACATCCCATTAGCCCACTTAGGAGCGAATTAAGGAGGTGGTTATACCCCTTAATCCCCTATAAATAACTGAAAATCAATTCAGTTCAGGGGTTCAGTCCATTGGGACTCCTTGGCAGCTGGGGCTTCGGTTCTGATCCTTCGGCTGAGATTTGGCAGCGAAAAGAGGATCCTTCATCCTTCGGTTGGAGCTTTGGAGATTGGCAATAAGATCTTCTTTATCCTTGGCTTATAACCGATTTCGGTTAAATCAACTCTTTTATAGAGTTTTAAACTCGTTCAGAGTTCTCCATAACGTTAAATCATGAGGAGAAGACCACGTTCCAGTGAAATAAGACGTCAGATCGTCAACGGAGAGCAAACTCGACGCCGTGAAGAACCCAGAATTAAACAAAGGAGAGAATCCAGATTAATTCTCTTCTCTTTTGTAATCAGGAAATCCAAATTGTAATTGATTTTGAGAGAATACAAGTTAATTTTCTTTCACTGTCTTTTTACTGCAAATTTTCCCACAAACACTGAGCATTGTAGCAGTTCTAGATCTCCACCTAGAACAAATGGATGTGAAGACGACATTCCTTCATGAAGATTTAGAGGAAGAAATCTATATGCATCAACTAATGGGCTTCGAGGAATGGGCAGGGAGGACCTTGTGTGTCGCATGTGCAAGAGCTTGTATGGCCTGAAGCAAGCTCCGCGACAGTGGTACATGAAGTTCGAGAACTTTATGGAGGAGAATGGTTTTCTCAAATGCGACACGAACCACTGTTGCTTCATCAAAAAATATGATGAATCCCATGTGATACTCTTGATTTATATTGATGTCATGTTGATTGTTGGGCCCGACTTAGCCCGCATTGAAGAACTTAAGAAGCGTCTCTCTGAATGCTTCGAGATGGATTTGGGTTTAGCAAACCAGATTCTTGGGATGAGGATCATCAGAGAAAGATCAGCATGGAAGCTTAGGTTATCTCAGAAGGCCTACATTGAGAAGATTTTTGAAAAGTTTGGCATGGAAAAAGCTAAACTGGTGGGCTCGCTGTTTTCGAGCTATTTCAAGCTATCAAAGACCTAAGCACCAAAGACTGCTGAAGAGTATGAGTTCATGACCAACATATTATACGCATCTGTCGTCAAAAGTTTAATGTATGCGATGGTGTGCACGAGGCTAGATATTGCACAAGGAGTGGGAGTTGTGAGCCGCTTCATGAGCAATCAAGGGAAGCAACACTGGGGTGCGGTTAAGTGGCTTCTACGCTACTTGAGATGTTCGTCTGACCGTTATCTTGAGTATGGCGAGGTGGAATTGCAGCTAGAGGGCTTTTGTGATGTAGACTACGCCGGGGACATAGACTTAAGGAGCACGAGCGGCTACATCTTTATCGACAATCGAAGCGAAGTACGCGTCTGCAGCAGAGGCAGCAAAAGAGTTGCTATGGTTGAAAACTTTTCTTCTCCAGCTTGGGATAAATTTTGAGAAATATTTCATCCATTGCGACAGTCAAGAGTGTCATTCACTTATCAGAGAACGACGCATTCCATGCTCGAACTAAACATGTTGACGTTAAGCATCATGTCATACGAAGATGGCAAAGCTTGAACGAATTCAAGCTTGTGAAGATTGATACAATCCAGCCGATATGCTGACCAAGTGAGTTCCGCTCGAGAAGGTGAGGCTGTGTGTAGCCTCATATGGCCTACGTTGAGAATGTTAAGAGCCGTGTAAGATGCCAAAGATACAAGATATTCGAATAATGCAACCAAGAATAGTGTAAAGATATAATTGATACTCAATCAAATCTTCATATGACCGTAATTTTTAAGAAATTAAAAAGATGACGGGTCCCACCAATAAAATATTATTAGTGACGGGTCACACCAATAATATTTTATTAGTGTAGTGTTTCCTAAACATTATAAATAGAGCCAAAACTCTTCACGAAAAATCATCTCAGAAATAACTCTTATAGAAGAGTAAGAGAAAACATAAGAGTTTATGAGAATTCTTAGAGTATCTTGATCAAGAGAGGGCGTTCTCTTTGATCTACTTCTTTTGAAATATAAAAGAACCGTGCGTCGTCGTTGCACCGTGGAGTAGCTCCGAATGAGTGAACCACGTATATCTGTGAGTACTATAATTAATTTTGTGCCTTTATTCTGTGTATTGTGTCTCTGTTCGAGGCGTTCTTGTTGGTATGTATCCCTAACAGTAAGAACCAGCAAAATTTTCATTTAGGTAATCAAATGAACTATACCAAACAAGCTATACCAAGAATTTCACGGAGTTCCTTCGCAGTGCAAGCTGCCTGAGCAGGGCCCCGTCTTCCAACCAAGTATACTTTCCTGTGACAATGAAAAAACAAACAAATACCCAAATTAAAGCACTTGCCGAACTAAATTAGAGCATGTTTACAAATGTTCAAAGTGGCTTATAAGCCATTTTTGACGCTTATTAACCACCTTGAAATGTTTGGCAAGTAGCATATTATTGCTTATAATCCACCAAAAGATATGGATTATAAGTCATCAGTTTTGACCAAGTAATAGACAGTTATACCAATTATGATTTAAATCCAAGGCCTCATTTATTAACTCACCACCAACCCACATCTTTTTTGGATATTTTGATAAAAGTGACGGATTATAATCCACCCATTTGCCAAGCACTCTACAATTGGAAATAAATTACAACTAAACTTACCAAACACTTTAGATTATAATCCACTTGGATTATAACACATTTGTATTATAATCCAAGTGGATTATAATCCAAAGTTCGCAAACATGTTCTTAGCTATCAACCCGAATAATACATGGGTGTATGGTTGAAACTTGAAAGGAATTAATAACAACAAACCTTATACTGCTTTTTTGGAGGGCATCTAAGGCATGAGAGGAAATATCTGTGGCTGACAATTCTATTGTAGGTCTCAAAAGAATACGAGCAACATCAAGAGCAACATTGCCCTGAAAATAAGATGCTTTTGATATTATGGTCTATTTGGAGCAATCTTAAAGGCAAGAGGAACAAAAATGGACTAAGACTACACTTGTCACCAGTTTTTCTAATGTAATATACACACATAACAGATCAAGGTGCTTGTATGTTTAATAATCAGGAAATGGTATTATTCTAGAGAAACAACAAACCAGGTTCAAGCATATGACAATATGAGATAATGCCTATATAAGGTTTGAATGGTGATGCTAATGCTGCCCCCATAAACCAGATGTTAAAGACAAAATAATTCAAGTACTTCCACCTAAAGGATCATTGATCGACATTTGCCAAGCGATAAACATTCTCAGGACATTAGCTTCAGGATCAAAACATGTTACCAGAGAAACATAAAGTTCACTGCTTAGGAACCTAAGCTGATCAAGGCAAAAAAGATCAACCTTGGTGAAAAAAGGACAACTGGGACCAAGTGACTGACTAACTCCTCATAATGGATACTAGAAAATAACCATATCAGATTGATTTCCTATAAAATTCGCATTAGTTGTGGAATTTTGCACAGGGAGGAAAACAACTAATAGAAACTACTAATTCTAGATCAGAAAAGATACTTGCAGCGTGAGGAACACCCTTACCAAGCTTGAAATGGTAAATGCTTAACCTTCAATATACCAAAAGTGCTATGGAAATAAAAAATAATAAAGTACAATAAAATAAACTCAATATTCAATTAGGCTAATCCTAGAAAAAGTACAGGTGATGGGTTAATCAACAAATTACATCATGACTTATGACCATCATGTTTTATTTAACCCTGTGATGAAACATTTTCCAGTGAAAACATACTCCAGAACACAAAACAGGCCTAATTAGCATCCTCCTAAAGGCATCATCATTTACTACTTGCAAACAAGCAAGTCATCATGTTTGTGTATGAAGAATGTAAACCTATTTATGAGATCAGTTAAATACAGATAGCAACAAATATCTCCGTGTGTCGCTTGCTTAAGAACTTGTAGCTGCCCCTGCTTTTAATAGTTAATTTAAGAATAAAAAATTGGCTTTGTATGTATTTCTGCAATACGAGTAGAATAATAGATGGAAAAGATCTTCTCACAGAGGTTCCAGAGCTACCTGACCAAATATAACAGCCGTATCTGTGTGTTTTAAGTCTGGCTCCAAATTGTAGCAATCAGGGTGCCCATTATACCACCACACAAATTCTCTTGCTGAATATATTCCACGCAAATCCTGATTAAGAAGAAGCAAGTAAAAGAGGCAAACAAGATGTTTTTACTCACGAGATACAACAAGGATGAAACATTAAAATAAAACACATTCTTCAAAACTACCTTGAGATGTAAAACAACTTGAAACGATATTAATATCTTTTAGATCAATTCATTTTGTTGGAAGAACGGATAGGAGTGATGGAAATTAACTTGCACTTTTTGTTCTACTAATTAGGATGCACGTATATTGCACGTGATCAAATACTTTGATTGTTTATGTATAGTTTATGGTTTTATTATAATAGGCTATCTATCATAAAAATTGGAATCTATATAGGTAAATTTCACTAAACTAGTAAGTGTGGGTGTTTGACACTAAACGCCAAATATCATTGAAACTCTTACTAATATCCAACAGGTGTATCACATTATGTATATCAAACATGTATGAGGCCCTTCAGTTTCAAGGTACAAAAGAAATTAAGCTAGACCAATTTACTTATCTAAAATTTAAAATTTACAAATACACGCTAAAAATTTTAAGATTTACAAATATCACAAAATCAAGGAATTAAAAATACACCTAAAAAATTTCAAAAACTTATAGGAGTTTTTTGCAATTTTCTAACTTTCTAGGGCACTTTTTGGAAATTTCAAATAGTAGATTATCAATGAATACTTTGTATCTTTGATTTATTTTATTTTTTTTGTAAATAAATGTTAAATTTTAGAGGATGTTTTCCATAATTATCAAACCCTCACCCTTTATCACGACGTTTGTAATTTGAAAAAAAATTCAATTTTCAATGTATATACTCTGTATTTCGCAATTTTCTAGGTTTGTAGGGTACTCTTTGCAATTTTCTAAGGGAGTATTTTGGAATTTTCTAGGTTTGTAGGGTAGCTCTTTAGGCAATTTCAAATTTGTAGATTTTCAATGTATATACTCTGTATCTTTGATTTTTATTGTGTTTTTGTAAATTTTTAATTTTTTGGGTGTTTTTATAATTATCAAATCCATATCTTTTATCATGATTTTGTAGTTAAAAAATAATATTCAGGTGGGATAACAACTTCTTATCTCTTTGCTAATTACTATAGATAATTAAATTTAAAGATAAAAACTAACTCCTGATTATCAATTCCTTATCTCCTAATTTAAAGATACTAGGATAGGATAATAACTTTTTTCTCTTTACTAACTATTATAGATAATTAAATTTAAAGATATCAAATTATGAATTTCCTATCTTTTATCAATTAAATATTTTCACACGAAACACATACATATGATATGTATTTCAATATGTTTACCATAAATTTTCATTTAATTAATTATTTATATTAAATTAGAATAGGATAACAAATTAATTTGTAAAAGGATCTAGGGTATTTTTCATCCATGGAAAATTTTATCTAAACTCACATTTTTATAAGGAGTATGATATTGTATGATTTGAATTGGGATAGGATAATAACTTTTCATGTATTTACTAATTACCTTACATAGTTAAATTTAAAGATAAAAACAAACTTCTAAATTATGAATTTCTAACCTTTTATCAATAAAATATTTTCATATGCAACGAAACACGTACATATATTATATTTAAATATTCTTACCATAATTTTTCATTTAGTTAATTACAATATTAATTAGAATATGTAACAATGTAATATGTAAAAGGATCAAGGGTATTTTTGTCCATGAAAAGCTTTTCCTAAACTCATGTTTTTATAAGGAATATGATATGATATGATTTCTACAAAGATGTCTGGTTAGATAGAAGTGAAACTTTCCATTTGCCAATTGATCACATCATACTAGCCAATAGAAGAATGGGAAACTCGTTTACTTCTACGTAAGGTACATAATAGGAAAGTGATAGGGAGAGAGGACATTAAGATGATTAGTTTAATCTATTTAAAGTAACTTTTATTGTCTCTCTCCATATAATTATTCTACTGATTACGATGAATTTAATCTCAGTTCATTTCATCTACGGAAATTCATCTCAAACTTTCATAGTTTCTTTTACTCAAATGAAACACCAAAAGTTGCTAAATGTACTCCACTTTTACAGCTGAGGTTGTGGTAGTATGAAAGAATTCTCTCCTCGATTAAACTAACCCCCCTCCCCCCGAAAAAAAAAGGAAATGCCACTTAGGGCAACTTAGCTTAGAAGCCAAGAGGTAAAAAACACATAGAATGTGGTAAACTGAAAAAGAAAACATATCTGTTTTATTCCTAGGAAAAAACTGAGAATAAAGAGACATGTTTGCCATGACATCGGCAATCAATTTTTCACGCCTCTTCACTTTCCAATTATCAAATACCAAAAAACTCATTTCAGCAAAAACAAATTCACTACCAAAAATAATGGAAATAAGATTGTGTAACTAGAAAAAACATACTTCTCCAAGGATGCCTA